TCTGGGAAGGTCTTTATCTCTCCTTCTATTCTGAATGACAGCCTTGCTGGATAAAGAATTCTTGGTTGCACATTTTTTCCATTCAGACCACTGAATATTTCCAGCCACTCCCTTCTGACCTCCCAGGTTTCCATGTACAGGTCTACTACTAACCTTAAAAGTCTACCCCTGTAGGTTACGAACATTTTATACCTAACTGCTTTCAGAATTCTCTATATTTGTACTTTGCAAGTTTCACTATGATATGTTGTGGTGTTATCCCGTCTTTGTTCATTTGAGTAGAATTCTCTGTGCCTCTTGGACTTGCATGCCTGTTTTCTTCCCCAGATTAGGGAAGTACTCAGTTATAATTTGTTCAAATAAACATTCTTCCCTTTTATCTCACTCTTCTTTTGGGGCTCCCATAATATGAATATTGTTCATTTCACGGAATCAGTTAGTTCTCTAAATCTCCCTTGTGATCTAATAATTTCCTTTCCCTCTTTTTTTAGTTTCATTACTTTCCATAATTTTATCTTCTATTTCACCTATTCTCTCCTCTGCTTTTCAATCTTCACTGTCACTATATCCAGTCTGTTTTACATCTCGGTTATAGCAATTTTTTTAAAAAGTTTATGTAGTTTTTTGATAGTGTGTGTGTGAGGGGGAGGGGAGAGAGAGACAGACAGAAAGAGAGAGAGAGAGAATCCCAAGCAAGCTCCACACTCTCAGTGGGGATTCTGATGTGGGGCTCGAGTTACTCTCCAGGAAGTCTTGACCTCAGCCAAAATGAAGAGTCGGTCACTTAACCAACTTTCCACCCAGGCGCCCTAGTTATAACAATTTTTATTTCATCCTGACTAGTTCTTAGGTATTTAATCTCTGCATCAAGTGTTTGTCTGGTGTCTTCTATGCTTTTCTTCAAACCCAGCTGGTAGTCTTATGACTGTTGTTCTAAATTCTTGTTCAGATATATTGCCTATATCTGTTTGAGCAAGTCCCTAGCTTAGATTTATTCTTCACCTTTCTTTTGGAGAGCATTCCTCTGTCTTTTCATTTTGGCTAAGTTTCTGTCTTTTATGTGCTTTAAAGTCTTGTTATGTTTCATATAACTGAGAATACTACCGTATTAAAACAGGGTCATACACTGTCCAAGGCCTGACACTTCAGTAAGTATTTTTGGCATGCACTCTGCTGTTGAGTTTTGGCTGCATTTTTCCACTAGTCCAATCCTCTGCAGAGCTCCTCCTTGCTTGCAGTGGTGGTGTGTTTGGACCTTTAACTAGGTGTGCTTAAGTTTGTTTGTTGAAGTAACCCTGGATAAAAGGAGGGAAGTCTGGTCACCAAACACTAGGGAAAAAGAAAAGTAACTAAATAGAACCAACAAGAAATTATGAGCCTGACTCCAAAGAAAAAAAAGAAGAAGACATAAAACAGAAAAAAGAACTTCAGGTTTCATTTTGAGGCACTCAACTTGCAGTGCACTTGGTGCATGGGAGGTGCTGGCTGTGCTGGTCTGGAGGAGAGGTCCACTGCATTGGCTCAGAGTTAGTCCTACCCTGGGAAACAAGCAGTTACCAGCACGGGGACCAGGGTTTAGTGTATGCAGATCCAGACTCCACTGGGGGCCACTGTCTGCTCTCTGAAGTCCCACCATGCTGGTGTTAGGGGGGAAGTAGCACCACTTGTCTCTCATCCCAGTCTGGGAATCTCGCACCTCAGTGTGATACTGGCACTGCACAGATCCACTCCCCTCCTCCAGAGTAGAGCTTCTCCATGCTGGGAGTTCTCTGTCCCCAAAAAACTGTCGCATGCCTGAACAGTGTTTGGTATGTATGGAGTAGCACTACTAAAAGCAACAAAAGTTATATACCCTCTGAATGTGCCTGTGTCCCTCGCTAATGAAAGGCCTTTGGCTGGCACCTTCCGAGTGTTTGTCCTTGAGGAGACAATACATCCTCTTCCAAAAGTACTCCAGGAAGGGGACGGATTCTGTCCCGGTGCATCCCCGAGATCTCTACACCAAGCTAGCACTCTGGGGCCAGCTCCCTCCTCCCCAGGAGCACAGGCAACAGCTCTACATCTCCACTCTAGAAAGTTGTGCAATTCCAAAATCTCAGAGTTTGAGCTCTAAATGCAAGCAAAAAACTTACTGGAGCACTCAGTAGTTCTCACTCCCCGGTCCATGGTCCAGAGAGGTTTCCTCCTTGTGCAAACCTGATGCCGCACTTTCTCAAACCAGGTCTCTTTCTCTCGCTTTTGTCTCTCCATGGAAAAGGTTCCCTCCCCTCTACAGCCTGCCGTTTTTCTACCTCCCAATTCACTTTCACATACTCCCCACCTGCCAAGCTTTCTCCCTCCAACTGTGGAGATCCGTCTGCCACTCAGCAGATAGGTTTCCTGGGTTTTCCAAGTGATCTGACTGTGTTTGAGGACTAGGAAAGCCCAGGTTCCCCCTACTTCTCCACCATCCTAACTCTTTGTTTCATTCCTTCCCGATTCTGAAATGGCACTCCATGTGCACAATACAAACCTAGCTCATAAATTCCCTTCAAATGTGAAAACATCCCTCACAAAACTTTCAATGTTTCATGACTCCTAAAGGTCCATGTAGCCTAGGTTTCTGTCCCATTTCCTTTCCAACTCACTTGTCCCTCTTTTATTTCTCAAATGGCTCCATAGGCTTCCCCCTAATCACCTGGGCTAGTAATTTGGACTATAGCAGTAACTAGCTGCTCCAGGCTAGTTACTCTTGGGGAGAGATTCTGAGGCATCTGTCCCTCCATCCGCCCAGACTCTTTCTGTCTAGGAGAAACTCCCTGCTGATTCCTCACCGAAGCTGACTGCCACATTTGCTTTTTGGTGGGATGGAGAGAAAGGAGCATTTGGGGAAACTGAGGCACCCTCCTCCAAGAATGTCTGTGACCTCTTTCTCAGTTTCTACTCATACCTTCCCTTCCAAAGTAATGATATCTTAACCCCTGTACAATTACTAATTACTCATTTTTTAGTAAACATCCTCTAGCAAGAGAGCCAACTTAAATGTTATTCCTCTACAAAGCCTTCTCCAATTTCACCAATCAACCGTCACCACTGCACCAACCACAACTGATCATCCCCCACTCTGAATTCCCAGGACACATTATTTGTACATGACTTATTATGACAACACTTTCTACTTTGTGTTAGAGCTGTGCTTTACCCCTTGTATTAGAATATAAGCCCCTTAAGGGCAGGGGCCTTATTTCATCTTTTTTGTTTGTTTGTTTGACTCTAGTTTTTATTTTTGTTGAAGTATAATTAGCATACAGTGTCATTATATTATTCTAGGTGTACTATATAATGATTCAACAACATACACATTTCTCAGTGCTTATCAGGATAACTGTACTCTTAATTCCCTTTACCTATTTCACCCATCTCCGTGCCCATTTCACTTTGACAACCAAGAGTTTTTTCCTTATGGTTAAGTGTATGACATTGTTTTCATTGTTTGTCTCACATTTTCCTTTGTTGCTGTTGTTGTTTTATTTCTTAAACTGTTCTATTTTTTTAATGTTTTATTTATTTCTAGGAGAGAGAGAGAGAGAGACAGCGCGAGCAGGGGAGGGTCAGAGAGAGAGAGAGACACAGACTCTGAAACAGGCTCCAGGCTCTGAGCTGGCAGTCAGCACAGAGCCCGACGCGGGGCTCGAACCCACGAACCGCGAGATCATGACCTAAGCGAAAGTCGGATGCTTAACCGACTAAGCCACCCAGGCGCCCCTTTCTTAAACTGTTCTAAGAGTAGAACCAGCTGGTGTTTGTCTTATTCTGAACAGACGTATTTCACATAGCATTGTTCCCTCTAGGTCCATCCATGTTGTTACAAATGGTAAGATTCCATTCTTTTCTATGGCTGAGTAATAGTCCATGATAGATGATAGATAGATAGATAGACAGACAGACAGACAGACAGACGGACAGATATATATTACATATTATTTATTTATTCACCTCTCAAGAGACATTTGGGTTGCTTCCATGTCCTGGCTGTTGTAAATATGCTGCAATGAACATAGGAGTGCACATGTCTTTTTGAATTCATGTAACTAAAAAACTTTTGCCCTGAAAAGTAAACCAGCAACAAAAGAGAAAATCAACCTACTGAAAAAGAGAAGATATTTAAAAATTATATATCCAAGAAGGGGTTAATACTGAAAACACAGAAAGAACTTATACAACTCAACATCAAAAAACCCAAATAATCCCATTTAAAAATGGGCAGAGGAACTGAATGGACATTTTCCCAAAGAAGACATACAGATGGCCAACAGACACTTGGAAAGGTGTTCACCATCACGAATCACAGGGAAATGTAAATTAACACTACAATGGGATATCACTTTAAACCTGTCAGAATGGCTAAAATCAAAAAGGCAAGATAAGCAAGTATTGTCCAGAATATGGAGAAAAAGGAACTCTCATGTACTGTTGGTGGAATGTCCGTTGGTGCAGCAATGGAAAGCAGTATAGAAGTTTCTCAAAAAATTAAAAATAAAAGTACCTATGATCCAGTAATTTTGCTACTGGTTATGTGTGTGTGTGTTTTTTTAAAATAATCTCTACACACAACGTGGGGCTCAAAGAGTCCCACCTGAGAGAAAGAATTGCATGCTCTACTGACTGAGCCAGCCAGGCACCCCATAGCTACTAGATATTTAACCAAGGAAATAAAAAATGTTTCTTCTAGTTTCTTTTAATGATAATATTTTAAAGTCAGTAAGCAACTACAGATACAATTCAACTAGACAAGTAAAAAAACAAAAGGAGAAAGAGCGAAGACACATCTTTCACTCCACAATATACACAGAGCTCTATTGGTGTTCACCCACCAACATCCCACGGGAGGCGTACCTTTCCATGCGATCAAGAGTACTCCATTATTATGCAGGGAGACCTGACTGCATTTATGTGTGATGATGTCAATCCGAATATGTACTGGCATGGCTGAGTGCAAGGTCTACACTTTTGGCCCTAACTTAAGTGGGGTTAGTGACCCAGCTCTGCTGGATCCCATAGGCAAAATAGATAACAAAACCAATCAGCATCCAAACACCAAATGCCACCCAGGTGGCAGCTGTCATCTGCATCATAAGACAAACATTCACGAAGATGCTCAGTAGTGGGAGGAGAGGCAGAGCAGGGACCTTAAACTTAAAGAGGGTAGAGCTCTGTGGCTGTCTCCAGATGACACCAGTGAGCCCAGCGATGAGGACCAGGAGCACCATAACCACTGAAATACACACTGGGTCTCTAGAAAGCAGAGCTGGCCACTGGGTCAGCGCCAGGCAAAGAAAAATGATCAGCAGAGCAAGCAGTAAGGAGCACACATAGACAATCCTGCCAGAGAGTAGAGTGGGGGAGGAGCTGCCTGGAAAAAGTAGTCCCTGTAGAGTCAGCTTCTCTGCTGCAGGACCATTCTCCTCCTGCACCTCTGCTCCATTTCCACATTTCTTCACCTCAGGCTGATACCTGAGGATGAGAACACAAAGAGCAACCAGAGAGTGAGAAATCAGGGACCCAACTGCACTTAGATCCAAGAGATCAGTTAATCCAAAGAAGAAAACAATGACTACAATAGGTCCAAGAATCACAGTGATTGTGATAACAATGTATTGGAAGTAAGAAATATGGATAAAGAAAGGGAACAGGAGGCCATCCTTTGCCATCTTGTATAATGCCCGACGTATTGGTCTCACAAAGCGTAAAAGGTTTTCAGAAAGAATGCACAGAAATATAAAAGTTACAATATAGTAGGCAAGGACCCAGCCAATATGGAGAAATGCCTCAGGCAAGATGCTCCCAGGTTGGAGCTGGTAGTAAGGTACCATAAGTGTAAGTGTTAACGAGACACCAAAATACACCAAAAAGCAGATGAACAATGAAATAAAAATGCCCATGGGAATGGAATGCCGGGGATTCTGGGCTTTTTCATTTTGGTAACAATATAGTCAAAGCCAATAAATGCATAGAAACAGGTAGCAGCTCCACGGAGAATCCCCTCAAAGCCAAAAGGCACAAATCCTCCAGAGCCCAGAAGGCCCAATATAGATGTGTCATTGAGTCCAGCCTTTATGTAGTCCTCTTCTGTGAGCTTCCAGTTGTGCAGGTCCCCCTTAATGAAGCCACAGATGATGACAAAACTGAGAACCAAAAGTTTCACCAATGTGACAACTTTGGCAGGTGTGGAAGTCGAAAATGACTCGAAATACCAAATATTCCTGAATTCCATGAACAACAACACAAAACCAAGAACAAAGAATTCTAGATATTCTGTAAGGACACGGGGAACATGTGCTGAGATGCTCTCTTGCACAGCCTGAGAGATCCGGTTCCCACGCAGGTGGTCAAAAGTTAAGACCCATGTGCTGAGCACAATGGCTTCCTCAACAACAAGGTAGAGGATGAGGTTCCAGCCACAGATGAAGGCCCAGAGTTCACCTATAGTGACATAGCTGTAGAGATATGCTGAGCCAGAACGGGGAATGTGGGCACTGATCTCTGCATAGCACAGCCCAGCCAACACGGAAGATAGGCCAGCCACCAAAACGCAAATCACAAAAGCTGGTCCTGCTTCTTTGCTGACCACCTTACCAGACAGGACATACACACCTACACCCAATGTGCAGCCCACACCCAGGGCCACTAAATCCAGAGTGTTCAGTGTTCTCTCTTGGTCATTCTCAGCCACCGGTTTCTCCAGCTTATGTCTGTGCACCAGTTTTTGACCAAGTCTACGAAGTGCCTGACACAGCATTCTAGCTGGAATTGAAGAGGACTGCAGGATCAGAGAGGTGTAGCAAGTCCAGGTAGCAGGGATCAGGTTCAGTGAAGCTCATTGAAGACAAGTATCCTTGGTGCTGCTGAGGTCCATTTCTCAGGCTTCAAAGCTGCTGCTTTGTATTTCATCTGGTATGTTGACAGCCCTCATAATGCCTAAATAAACAATAAATATTTACTGAACAATGGTGTTCAACCAATCAACCAAAGCCCAGAAGTCCCATGTCACCTGTTGCAGCCCGAGTATCACATAAACTGAAACAAAAGATCATAAATATTCAACCCTCACTTCTCCCAGAAAAGTGCCAAATATCTCCCAACATTCTACTTTTTACATACCACATGACAATATCCCTTTTGGGTTCATTTAACTCATGGAGCTTTATGTACTAATTAAGCCATAGGACACAAAAGGACATGAATTTATTGTGCAATAATTCACACACAGGATGTTTGTGTGGAGCTTGGGCATAAGTTATAACACATTAATTCATGGAATAGAGGGCCTTCTTGCACTTCCAGAATCATTTCTTAAATATCATCTGAGTTTCAAATACAAATATTGGTCCCAGTGTCTAAAAACTCTTTGCCCCCAAATCAGTACCCAAAGTCAGATGGCTCCATTTATCCTCATTCTGCATCATCCATTTAGCTGTAGTGATGGCAAAGAATATGCAGTCCAACCCTTCCCTTTACTCATCTAGTCCAACAGATAACACTGTGAAAAGAGAGGAGGAGGGAGAAAGAGGCAGGGCCTTCATGACTACCTACAAGAACTAGAGAAACCAGGCTGTCTGGTGAGGAAACACTGGAGAAATAAGTGCATAAGCCAACCAAGTATCCACTACTAAGGGATAAGAACCAGAAAGGCCACTTTGTGAATTCTGATATTCAGTAAACCTAACCCAAAACAACCAGGCAAAACTTACTACAGTTTGTATGTCCACAGTTATAAGAGTGTGATGGGTAGGAAGGAAAGAAATAAGTCACCTACCTCAGAGAGAGGGGAGCTCATTTCTGCCAAGTCTCCTCAATGGCCACACCGTGCTCTATAAACACCCTGGGTCACCTGTGATGTCAGCTGCCAGCCACCTGGAGACCCGGCTCCGTGAACTTATATTAAAACACGAACTTGTAACTCCCTGTTAATTTTCCACTATAGTTATTTTTCACTTGCTCCAACCGTGGTTTCAATATGCCAAATACATTTTCCTAATGAAGGAATCCTGAATGTGGTTCCTCCTTCCCCCTCTTCCACTTCAGCTATTCAAATGGTCCCTTCCATCAAACAAAACAAGACTTTGGTGAACAATTCACAGCAATGCCCCAGAAATGAGTAGTGGAGAACAGAGAAAACAAAGTTATGCGGTCCCCACTCTCCTCACCATTCAGGCTTTAGTTTTGAGTTATCTGTAGTTTTTAAAGACAAAAAGATCAAGTCAAAACTGAAATGCCTTCCTTACAGATTATCAAAAGAAATCCTAATGTTATGGGTCAAAGCTTCTGTGTACAAATCCATCTAGACTCCTTATCGGCCACCCATTTGCAATGTTATGATTTATTAACAAACGTACATAGTCAGCATCAATACTTAACTCATGGAATTTTCTACACTGTAAACATCATTGATGTGTCCTCCACCCACCCCCAGACTTCAAACCCTTCAGTGGATCCCAGTGCCCTTCCTTTATAGTCCTTCCTTCCTTCATCATCTGACCTGTGCTGATTCCTCCGGCCTCATCCCCTGACCAGTTTCTACTGCAGCTGTGAAATTCCACACTCACCATGTTACCTGTCTCTAATGCCCTCTTGTCCCTTCACTTTGCTCACCCCCAGTTTCCCAGGAACCTCCCCTGACCCTTATGCTGCCTTCCTATGTGCTGTAATAGCACCCGGCTTACCCCATGTGCCATTTATCCCAATGGATCAGAATTTCAGCTCAGCTGACTGTGTCCTCTATCAAAGTGTGAGTTGGATGCTCAATAAATACTGAACAAATACACAAACTGAGAATATAAACCTGAAAGAGAACATAATCCAGAATTTCTATCTAAGTGACTCTGAGACACATGCTTTGTAGCCAAACAATATTTATGATCCTGCTTTAAGTAAAGATATAAATTGTATTACCATCCTTGTAGAAGGCAAGCAAAATGAAAAGTGTGAATGGAAAACAAATTGATGAAACCTTGACCTCACATCATCATGGCAGGTATAAACCACACAGGGTGACAAAGAATTGTAAAATTTTTTGAAAACAACACACCCAGGCCCTGTAACCAAAGTAGGATGCCCTAAGGCAGAGGTAATTACTTCAGGGGACAGAGGGAGGGATAATGAAGACACTGGTGAATAATTCTCAAACTATTCTCAAAATATCCTGTCCCTCTAGAGACTCTTGTCCACTAGCCCTGTCCTTCCCGTGGCTGCCCTAAACCATTGCAAATGACAAGAAATTGTCTCCAATTTCAAAGAGAACAGATTATAAAAGTTTTCTTCATGAAAAAGCAGCACAGTTTAGCAATTAGGAGTAAGGCTTTACAGGTACACAGTTCAGGTGCAAACAACAACTCAACCTTGTACCAGGTACTCTGGACAAATTAGCTAACCTCTTGGTGTTTTAGTTTCAATAACAGTCAAATGAGAGTAAAAGTACCTCATAGGGTAATTGTGACATATAAGAGAAATGATGCCTATAAAGTACTTAGCTCAGTGCCTACCAAGCTATATGTAATTAATATAATGTATCTAATGTTTAGTATTGAAATCTGATCCAAAGTCCAAAATTTGAAGATCAATTAGTATTTATAAATTTCTAGCCCCAAAATCATCCACTAAAATTCGAGCCTGTTAGTTAGCATGCCCTCATGAGACAATGAAAACAGTTTTAGTCCATATATTTTGTCTTGAAGTGCTAAGTACCCTAATTAGACACCCTTCTACATGGTGCTAAACACTTGAAGGTCCTAGGCTTACTGGCTTAGTCCAGGATTCTGGAATATGCAAGCTTCAAACATCATCATCATAATCATCATCAATATTTTTCCCTATGGATGTCTCATCTTATTCCTAGTAGGGGCAGTTCTAGGTACTGTAGTGCTAAGAGCAACAAACATTATGTCAGAAATTTTGGATTTGAGCATTGGCTCTTCCACCTCACTATATAAACCAGGGTAATTTGCTTGATCTCTCTTATGCCTCAGGTTTTCTCACACACAAGGAACCTTACTTCACTTCCCTTATAGGATCGACATAAGATTTGATGACAAGATACAAAATATTACCCTCTGCTGGTGGGAGTGTAACTGGAGTCACCATCCTGAAGCACAATATTCATGGAATTAAGTATGCACACACCCTCCCACTCTGCCATCTCTCTCTGAGATATACACCCCAGGGAAACTCTTTCCTGTGTCTATAAGGAGGCTCATATGAGCACATTCACCACAGAACTATTTTTGAATTTGGAGCTATACCAGCTGCTGTTACTAGAGGAATGTATAGGTAAAATATGCCATATGTACACAAGGAAATATTACCCAGCAGTCAGAAATTAAAAAGTAGATTAAAGACAACAACATGGGTAGGTTTCAGGAACAATGTTAAATAGCAAATGTAGGGGTGCCTGGGTGGCTTAGTCAGTTAAGCGTCCGACTTTCACTTAGGTCATGATCTCGCGGTTCGTGGGTTCGAGCCCCACGTCAGGCTCTGTGCTGACTGCCAGCTCAGAGCCTGGAGCCTGTTTCAGTCTGTGACTCCCTCTCTCTCTGACCCTCCCTTGCTCACGCTGTCTCTCCCTCTCTCTCCTAGAAATAAATAAAACATTAAAAAAAATAGCAAATGTAGAAGTAAGATGAGGCATACAGCATAGTTACATTTATACACATTTATAAAATAGCCAAAAAGTGCTGCATATTTGTCAAGGATACACACATACCTGTTAAAAATGTCACAACATTCTCTGCTAAAATCTTCCACCAGTTTCTCTTTTTATTCAGAGTAGAAGCCAAAGCCTGCATTTGCAATGACCTACAAAGTCCTACAGTAGGACTACACTGACCCACCTACTACTCACCCTCTGTTTCTCTCTCTTCCCACCCATTTTTCTCTAGCCTCCTAATCATTCTGGTTACCTAACATACCAGCAAGACCCTACCTCAGGGCCTTTGTACTTGCTGTCCCTATAACCATACCACTTCTAACCCAGATAGCCCCATGGTTCCTCACTTCACTGCATTTAGTAAAATAGCTCATGTGTACAACAGCCTTCTTTAATCACCACGTGTAACACTGCAATCTGCTCCTAACCACCCACAGCATACCTTATGCTATCCTCATACCCTCACTTTCTTCATACCACTTATCACTATTCAAGGTACTATATGTTTTAATTAATTGTTTATTATTTGCCTCACACCAAAATATGTAAGTTCTAAGAAAGCAGGACATTTTTATTGTTTTGCTTTTGCCTTATTCCCCACACTACAACTGTGTATTTGTAGTGTGAATTAAAGTATCTAAATTCACACATAGAGCATGGATTGGAAGAACATTAGTTAAATACACTGAAGCAAGTGCCTCCAGTAGGAGGGGAAATGAGAATAGAGATCAGGATTAAAGGTAAAATAAAATGCATTGCAAAGGGCCTAAACAGGAGGCAATGGTGCTAACAGTCCCTGATTGAGGAAGGAGTTGACTCCACTCTGTGCATGTCAGATTCAACAAGGCACTGCATGAGATAATGCTGTGGGAGTTAAGCAGAAGGGTAAATGGATCCTCTGATTGTCAGGACATGGAGAATACAGAGAAAGAACACCTGCTAGAAAGAGGCTGAAGAACAAGGGAAGATGGGGCACCCCTCCTACCAGTTACTTCTGAACCCATTTCCAATTTCCCAATTCCTCTTTTCCTTCACCTCCCTCAACTGACTCTGGAGGCTCCTTACTGGGCATAAGGATGCTTGTACCACATTTCTCT